GTAAAACAATTTATTCTGAAAAAAACATTCGAGGAAAAAAAACTCAACATGCGCGTCTTTTCCGCATACGTCGAGCTTATAAGAGACTTATAATTAGGTTTGTTTTTCCGCTAAATGCATATCATTGATTGCTCAATGGTTAAGTGTGCTGTCATCAGTTTTGTTTGGGTGTGTTTCTGAAATTCATAAAAATTATGGGTTTCAAAAAACGTTTTACAAAGAGTTATATATCGTAATAAATTATTTTAAATTCCGTTTTTCTCGAAATGCGTAATAAACATATTTAGGCGTTTTAAAAACGGCTGCAGCATATATTTATTGTAAAAAAATAAATGTAACAAAAATAAACTTTTAATTGTCAAAAGAAAGTTATACAGTTTTTTCTAGCTTTTTTTTGGGCTTTTTTTTTGCCTTTACATCAGCAACTTCTGGAGTAGCAGGATTGTCTAATTAAGTTTTTTTTTAAAAGTTTCAGCCAATTTGTTTTAGACTATCCGCAGCTTATTAGGTCTAATTTCCTGAGCACATAAATAACATAAGTATCTCAATACATACGCAACACATACGCAACACATACATCAACGCATACATCACACAACGCATGCAACACATGTTTTTTTTTTATAAGTTTCAGCCAATTTATTTTAGACTATCCGCAGCTTATTAGGTCTAATTCCTGAGCACATAAATAACATAAGTATCTCAATACATACGCAACACACACGCAACACATACGCAACAATTTTTTTCTACCGGTGTTTTGATGTTTTTAGAAATTTTAGCATTTTTAAAAATGTTTTTGCTGGTTAATTGTATAGTATCGTTACATATGATTATACAAATATTATCTTAATAAAACTTCAAAAGTATTTTGTATTTAAAAATAATAAAAAAAAAATCAACAGTGGTAGGACTCAAGCCTAGGTTTTACCAAAAAGTGGTTAGTTGGATTTAAACAGAATAAGGAACCAATAACTTCCTATAGATAAAAATAAAAATAATTCAAAACAACAATGGATGCTGGTAACAATCTAAACCGTCAAGAAATTCATGCTATTATTTCAAATTATCTCAAAAGTTTCCTACTTAAAAAATAGTTTCAAAATCCTATTATAATAGAACAAGAAACCATTTAATAAAATACTATATTTCTATATTTTCTTCTATGTTCTATATTATATATATATTTCTACATATAAAAGTAAAAGTTTTCAAAAATTTGAAAATCAATTATTATTACAAAGTTACTAAAACCTAATATACTAACCACTAATAAAATTATTCTTCATAATTAAAATACTTTTTATCTATTGTGCAATATATTATTTGATATTGCTACTCTATATTTACTATTGTGTATTAAAATTGTAAAAGCATTGGTTATTAGCTTTAGATAAAATAGCTAAGTAACTTTTTTTTATTTGTATTCATAGATTGATAGTTATGATTATATTTTACTAGTTTCCAAAAGCACATTTAATATTTTTTGTTGCATGAATAGCATTTTAGTGACACTTTTTATATAAGTTGACCTTCATTGAGATTATCTTATTTATTAAAAAAGGTTTGCCAAAATATTTTTCAAGAATGGACATCCTTTAACTGATATGCATAAGACTATACACAATTTAAAGATATAGATATCATTCTGCAATTTTTAATTTCAGAACTCTTGATATTTTCATTCCAAAAATACACACATAGGAAAAGTTTTATATTATTTGACACATAATTGTATTTAAGCATATGGAAGTTGTTTTTTTTTCAGCAATATTTCTATATTTATATTATTTAATACCAGATAGTAAAAAATAGTGTGTTATGTTATGCTTTCAAACTTTTTCCAATAAACAAATAAAAATCATTAGTTAATTTGATTTCTTTTGTTTAGCCATGCATCTGAATTTTGTTAAACTTTTTTAAAATCAGTATATTCAATAAGATCAGCAGCGTATATATTCTCAAAGTTAACATTAATTTCTGTTAAATCTCTTTGTATATGTTGCTAAATATCGTAAATAGTTTGTAAAGATAGAAAAATGTGTTTTTGTTTCAAAACACTCCTTGTTATTATTTATATAATAATTTTAGTATAACAATTTTTTAAGTACATTTTGTAGCAGTTAATTTTCTTTTTGGAAATACATATTATGTTATTATTCATTTTATTTTTAGGAACAGTATAAATTTTTTTTTCCATTTCTCAAATAATATTACTTATTGTGGTAATTGTTTTGTGATCTGATTAAGTTATTATTATAAATTCGGTTTCTTTTAATAATATAAAGATAAGATTAAGCATTAAAGAAGTCATTTTTGTAAAGGGATAGCTGAGATAGTGATAAAAACTTTTCACGTGAAAACAAAACATTCTACCAATATGATTTGAAAGTTTGTTTACTTTATTTTAGAAATTTTCTACAGTTTTTTAACAGCAAGGCGTACTGAAATAAGTTTAGTTTGGCAAGACATAGAAATTTAGTCTTTTTTACTTTGAGAATGTCATTTTTAAAGTCATGATATTTTTTTCCTTTGCTTTATGGAAGTCTTTTATAAATAATAATAATAATAATAATAATAATAATAATAATAATGAAACCTACTTTTTTTAAAAAAAAGATATGTGAAATCTTTTTTTAAACAAAACTGCAGCAAGACAAATTTGTTCCCTATTAGATTTTGGTAACTAACAAGCAACGTTAACGCCAGGTTAAATAAAATTCGTTTTAACAGTCACAACTTTTCCTGCAATTTTCGTTCCGAAATGCATTTAATTTTTGATAATCCCAACAATTTTTTTGTTCTAAACTGCATTCTCTTATATTGAAAGTATACTTTTTTAAAATAAATGAAGTGATAGAAAGGTGCGCTGAGTCTTTTATATTTAAAGAGGTATATTTTTATATTTAAAGAGGTAGTTAGAGGCAAGATTCTTGTAGAATTCAAACAAGTTTTGAGTACAAAACGTCTTTTTGCCTTTCACTTTAATTTTAATAAGCATGAAAAGGGTACAGTTTAAATTTATTTATTCTGATTCGTAACTCGTGTATAGTGCAACTTGTAGATAAACAATTGTCTATTAATCATTTCTACAATTATTTTCTATCTATAAAAATATTCACTGTTTTTTATTAATTAAGAAAAAAAGTAAAAACATTCTGGTAACAATTGAGATCGACATTGTTTTTGTTCATTTATTCTCTGTAAAGATAGCTCCGAAATCTCATACGGCAAAACCACCCCTTATGAAAGTCGGTAATTACAGTAACCTGAGTTTATTTTGAGAAAATAATAATGTAAAACCACTAAAAAAACTTATTTAGGCTTATGACTAATTAACTACAGAACAAACTAAAAATTATCCTGTTATATTTATGAATGTTTTACGTTGCTAAGGCCGTTGCTACGGCACTTTTTTCAAAAAAGTTACTTCTTTTCAATATCAAAAAAAGTTTTGCCAACTTACTTTATATATTATTAATCTACAACAAATTGCCTACCAAATGAGCTAAATATAAAAAAAAATCATTTTTTTGAAGATTTTGAGAAAATAATTTTGTGTTGTACCACCTTAACATTTTAAACAAAACTTGTTTTTTACAAATGAGCATTTCTTCGACAACAATTTAATGTGAGAACAACAACCAAGTTTTTAAGACAAATAAAGTCAATACATAAATGTTACATAAAAATCATCTTTAACTATTTTTTTTTTTTTAAATAATCTATGTTTAGTTACGCTTCTAAAAAGAAGCATCACAAAATAACGTTTGTCTGACGATTCATAACAAAAAGTTCAAAATACGTGGCACAGAATTTTAGCACAAAACTCGGCTCCGTAAACGGATTTTCGCCTACTTATTATATACATGAGGGATATGATATTTTAAATATTTATTTTTTATTGTGTGCAATATATTTCCTATTTTTAATAAGTGGGTGTGATATTCTAAGATTCTAAGCTGCAAATACAACTATTTAGTAATTTATTTTTAAACAAAATACATGGGGGATGTAGTATTCTGAATCTATATTACCGGTAGCATGCAATTTATTTTCTAATTTCATTAAAGTGATGTGATATTCTAAGAATAGAAGCAGCAAATATAAAAAATTTTTATGAAATTTATGAACAATAAACATGGGGGATGTTATATTCTAAACATTTACTTCCTACAGTGCGCAAAACATTTCCTAGTTTTAATAAGGGAATGTCTCATTCTAAGATTCTAAGCAAAAATTGCTACTATTTAGTATGAACTTTATAAACAAAATACATGGGGGAATCATATATTCTTATCATATAATACTGGTAATGTTTATTATATTTCTTAGTTTCGTTAAGGCGATGTGATATTCTAAGATTCTAAGCCACAAATACAACTACGATATTTAGAAACAAAATATATTGAAAATGTTTTTATTGTTTCTTTAGATAATATAAAAAAAAAAGCTATGGCATTTATCTATGTTCTACATCTATTCTAGAAAACATTCTACATGCTTAGTTTTTTTTTTCTTTTATGATGTTTGCGTTGCTCGTAGTGAGAGAAATAATAATTTTTGCGAGACCTAAATTATTTTAAAATATTTTAAATTATTCCAAATTATTTTATATTATTCTAAATTATTTTAAATTATTTTAAATTGCAAAAATTATTTTAAATTACAAAATTAATTTTAAATTACAAAAATTATTTTAAATTACAAAAATTATTTTTAGTTACAAAAGTTATCTCTTTTTTTTTCCTGATTTAACTGGTTCTTAATCTTCCTATTTGTAGCATCACAATATAAACCCTCAGTCTTTATATGCAAAAAAGCCAGAAAGAGCATCTGGTTTCAAAAAATTGCTTTTTTACAACCAGGTGCTCTTCCTTTGTTTTCTAATTTCATTTGATTTAGACAAATTTTAGTTTTCTATATTATTTTTTATTTCTGAGATATTTTAATGCATTACATCTAATTGTATTTAGTTTTAGGTATTTAGTTTTTGAATAATGATATCAGGTAAAAGTCTACTATGCCTTTATCAGGGTTATCATATTTTATAAACCAATATATTACAAAAAAGCATTGTATATACAAAGTTTTTTAAAAAAATTTTCTTCTTCGTGAATTTTTAGTAATATAACAAACCTATAGTAAAAATGTAGTTGTAGTTAATAAAATCAATCAAATTCTTTATCATATCAAATATACGTTTCATACCAAACTTATGTACATTATAATATATAATTTATTGTAGTATTAAATGTTTAAATAAATTTAATCCAAAATTAAAAAGTCTGCGAGTACTAATAACAACAAAAATAGTCATAATATTGCATTTGCGCATAAGAAAAAGACCCAAAGGAGCAAACCTAATTTTAACCTTTTATGTTTTCACAAATGGGACACGCCGTATTGTTTTAAGACCTTTTATGTTTTCACAAATGCGACACGCTGTATTGTTTTAAGACCTTTTATGTTTTCACAAATGCGACACGCTGTATTGTTTTAAGACCTTTTATGTTTTCAAATGCGACACGCTGTATTGTTTTAAGACCTTTTATGTTTTCACAAATGTGACACGCTGTATTGTTTTAAGACCTTTTATGTTTTCACAAATGTGACACGCTGTATTGTTTTAAGACCTTTTATGTTTTCACAAATGCGAATAGTAGCATTTTCGATCTAATAATTTAAGCTTGATTAATTTAAGGTTTTTATTTATTTCATTCGATTGTAATTTAGTATAAATATTACCAAACCTCCTTCATCTAATAACAAATATACCACTCTTTTTTTATACTTATTCGCTTCTTCAACTGGGAAACAATATACCAGCTCTTCCCCAATTATGAAATTTTCAGCTAACAATACAGAAAGTGTTTATAGGATATATTTGATTTTTTTCTTTTAATAATGAATATACTATATTTGCTTGATTATTCAAAAGAATAATGCAAGGGGGTGTCTATAAAGTACATAAACATGAATGCCAGATTGCCCAAACGCATAAAGTTTTGTAAAGAAAAAGTTTGTTTAAGGTAATCTTATGTACATGTTTGGCTACTTTACTTGCAAGATTTTCGGTAAACCTGATCTTTGTTTTTAAAAAAAGTATCTTTATTTTTCCTCTTTTACTTGTCTTTGTCTACTTTTAATTGTCTCTTTTACTTGTCTTTTACTTGTCTTCTTGTAATTAAATGCCATTTTAAATTGCCAATATTTTAATTATATATAGAAAAATGTAGAATTGACAGAAAGTCTGATCTTGTGATATTCTAAGATTCTCTCTTTTTTAATTCAATCGCTTTTTGGACTTTTTATTCATCAAAACTACATTTTCTACGCTTAAAATGTATATGTAAATGTATATATAAATATATATATATATATATATATATATATATATATATATATATATATATATATATATATATATATATGTATACATTTATATATACAAAAAAAAATATATATATATATATATATATACACATGTGTATATATGTATATATATATACATATATATATAAGTATATATATACATATACATAGATATATATATATGTGTATATATATATATATATATATATATATATATATATATATATATATATATATATATATATATATATATATATATATATATATATATATATATATATATATATATATAATTGTATTTATTAGGAAATTTTTATTTTTTTTTAAATAAGGGGAAATATTTGGTTACAAATCTTTTTAGAAATAAAAACTTTTTTTGAAGTTGTTATTTGCTTTGCGTACATTTTTAATTGTAAAGCATTAAAGTTTAATGCTTCTATTCTAAGGTCGTGGTGTAAAGGTAAACAATGTCACACGTTAGTATAATACTATCTGAACCCACTTTAATTTATGTTTATTAATCATTTTTAAAATATTTTTAAAAACTAGTTATCAGAGTTTGAGTTTGTTTTTTCATACCTAATTGACGAAGATAGACGATCTTGATTGACAGGCTTATCGCTGTATTATGTAGAGTCCATCACAATTAAGCTGCTACCTTTGTCTGCTTTTTTAATTACATTACCTTTAATTTTTTTTATAGCTCTTTAAGAGCTTCTTTTTTTGGCGATGAAATATTATCAAGCGATAGATGTTTAATGGGATCTACTTGTTAATTTTTCGAAATTATTTCATCGAGTTCTGGAGTTGTTTTAACATTTTAATTAAATTTCTTCTTTAAAATACTGATATCATTATTTATTCATAAAGTCTTTCAACTTAACTTTTTAAGTGAATTGTCTATTATCTCAATTAATGTGTAAGAAATTACCTTTGGTTGTTGGGCAGAATTCAGTACCTTTTGTTAGAAATGATATTTGGAAAGTGGTTAAGTGTTTGGTGGATAAGTTGATGACCTTAGGTTGTATTTTCTTGGTATTGTGCTTGTCCAGTTTTTTGGAGGTGCGCGATTTATTAAATTATAATATTGTTTGATAAAGAATCGTAACTTATAATATTAGGGTAGGGTGGGGCAAGAGGCCCAGGTGGGGTAAAAGGCCCATCCTGCAGTTATAAAGAACCTAGGTAAAATATTATAATTATTGTTTTGTAGTATGAATGATAAATGTGTGACAGTGTTGCGAGCGAATTTTGGTGAATTTTTAGTAGAAATATAATTTTTAACAGAATATTGAAGACTTGACAGGTAATAAGAATAGGACATTTTGATTTTTTGCGTAATTTTAAAAATTTTTTGTAGATTATTGTTAAACTTAGTTGATTATTTAAATGAGTTTATGTATTTGTAAGCGTACAAATTATGTATTGATTATTTACATAACGTTCATTGTACCATAGAATAATATGTTTTTAGCAATTTTTGCACCGACCATTTTGGGGCAAAAAGCCCAGTTTGTTAATGGGGCAAAAGGCCCATCCTGAGCTTTTTACCCCTTGCATTATTTAAGTAGAATGTTCAAATTTTAACTTTATTTTATTTATAGATATAGTTAGAAATTACAAAAGGAAGACAAAAAAAGGAAGTTATGGAGCAGAAGATTTACAACGGGCTTTAGATTTAGTAAAAGATTGTATGTCTTTGCGTAAAGCTGAAAACAGTTTTGGAGTTTCTAGGAAGACATTGAGAAGGCATTTGCAGAGCAAAGTAAGACAAGTTGGGAGCAATAAATTAGGAAATCATGTGAATACTTTTTCTATTGAAATTGAACAAGATCTTGTTAAACACATCCAAATGATGGAAAGAGCATTATTTGGATTAACTACGACGGATATCCGGCGGCTAGCGTTTGATATGGCCGAGCGACTTCACTTGAAGCATTCATTTAATACTTCCTCCAGGCAAGCTGGCAAGGACTGGCTTATTGGTTTTTTGAAACGTCATCTAGAATTAACAATTAGAGTTCCAGAGGCAACTAGTATGAATCGAGCAGTTGGATTTAATCGACCAAAAGTAGACCAGTTCTTTACCGTTTACGAAGATATACTTACAAAGAATGCGTACGGACCTCAGTCAATATGGAATATGGATGAAACTGGCATCACAAATGTCCAAAAGCCAGGAAAAGTGCTTGCCACAAAAGGTGTTAGACAAGTCGGTAAAATAACTAGTGCGGAAAGAGGCACAACTGTTACAGTTATATGTGCAATGAATGCGAGTGGATCATACATTCCTCCGATGCTAATTTTTCCTCGAAAAAGACTCATAGATCAATTAATGAAAGGTGCTTCTCTTGGCAGCATTGGTGGAGCAAGTGCATCTGGTTGGACAGATTCGACTTTATTTCTTAAATGGCTGGAGCACTTTGCTCTTCATACATCAGCAAGTATTTCAAATCCCAAACTTCTAATTGTAGACGGGCATCACAGCCATAAGACTCTTGAAGCAATTGATTTTTGTCGCGATCATGGGATTGCAATGATAACGTTACCACCACACTGCACACATAAAATGCAACCACTGGATCGAACTTTCTTTAAGCCATTAAAATGCAGCTACAACTCCGCAGCAGATAGCTGGATGCGCACTTATCCAGGCAAGCGAATAACTCTGTATGACATGGCAGAAATTTTTGCAACAGCCTATGCAACAGTTGCTGTGGTGGATAAAGCTGTGAAAGGATTTGAAGTGTCTGGCATTTTCCCATTCAACAAAGCCATCTTTACAGATGAGGATTTTATATCTGCACAATTAACTGATGAGCCAGAACCTGTGATCACACTTGCAGTATTGGACGACAGTGCTAGAAACGAAACAAGTGAACCTATGAATACAAATAAATAAGCCGGCAATGCGGTGGATGATGAAGCATTGGTTAATGTGATGGAGACTGATAGGATTGCAACAGGAGATAGTAATGAGTCCGATGAAAATCAACTAGATAAAACAGCTGATCATCTTGGTTTATCCGAAGCATTGCAGATTATGTCAGAACTAAGCCCTATTCCAAGGATAAAGAATGTACGCAGTCGCAAACGAAAAACCGAAACAGCAACTTTAATAACTTCTAGTCCTTATAAAGCAATGTTAATTAAAGCAAATGCAAAGAAGACAAAACAGAACAAGCAAGTAGTAGTTGAAAATAATAATGAGGAAAATGATGAAGACGAAATCGATGTAATCGCAGACAAATCCAAGAGAACGAAAAGTGGAAATGACAAAGAAACCGGGAAAAGGAAGCAATATGCGAGAACAAAATCAAAAAGGACAATCAAAAGTAACGCATCGAATGCTAACGTGATAAGAAAAGGGTCAAAAGAACGAAGATGTGTAGGTTCTGTTACTAACAGTGATGATACGCCATGTTGCATGTGTGGTAAAAGATTTAACGAACCACCCATTGATGACTGGCAGCAATGCCCAGAATGTCTCAACTGGTACCACGACGGCTGTGGTCCTGATGACACTGCTGTCTGCTTTCACTGCCAATAGGCATAATCAATTCAACTAGTCTTACTGTAGTTTTTTAGCTGTATGAATTAGTTTTTTTTAGCAACTTCTAAGCTCTATGAATTAGCTTTTAGCTGTGTTTTTCAGCCCTATAAATTAGTTTTTATAGCTATCTTTTTAGTCTATAAATTTTTAGCTCTTTTTAGCTCAATTAATTTTACGGTGCTGTTTGCCATTGTCATATGATAGCATATATGGTGCTACTTGCTAATAACTTTAGATACTTAAGTTTATTATGTATCTGAAATAATGGTAACATAAATTTCTAGATACGTTTATTGGATCAGTAAAAAAAAGACGAAATTGCTTATGGTGGGCTTCTTGCCCCACCTTACCCTATTTGATAGAGAATTAAAGCTTGTAGAATTATGATATTGACGATCTTTATTAAAAGCTGATTTAGTGAAAATAATTTTTTTTTCTCCCGTTTTTAATCAACTCGTTCTTTATCTTCGTTTTTGCTTTCTTCGTATCTATCTTTTAGAGCTTTATTGGTTGCATATTTATTGATAAATTTAGTAATTTCTATACCAACATTTTTAAGTGATGTGAGAAAACTATCTTTGCGTATCGTAAGTATTTTGCAAGATTTTCTTCTTCAGCTGACATAAGGTGAAAATTGTCAGTTCTGAACTTTCTAGGGATAAAAAGTGGTTTCTGTTGTAAACAATCGTGGTATATTATTAAAAGATTCGTGCACCTGATGTGTTTGTAGTATAATAATTTGTATTTATCTAAAGATTTAGTGAAAAACTTTTGGTATTTATCTTTAAAGTTCATATATTGTGCTTTAATGCTTTCATTTGATTTGTTTTTATGCTGGTAAATATTAAAACAATCTTTAAGAGTTTATTCAATTACATATGTTACTATGGGTTTTAAATCATCAATCAGTGAAGGTAAAGATTCTTATAATTTTTTTAAAACTTCTGTAAAAAGGTCATTTCCATTTTGTGAAGACAAGTTCTCTGCTGACATTTTAACAAAATAACTATTAATGTAATTTAACCAACACAATGAAAAATGTATCCCAAGCAAAAGAAAAACTTCGAAAAAAAAGAAAATATTACCTTTACTTTAAAAAACAATAATTTCCTCTTCAATAAACCAACTATTTTACCATTTTACAGGCACTGCCATGGGCACAGACTTTGCACCAGACAATGCATGTCTTTCAATATGGTTTTTAGAAGAAACTATACTTTTTCCAAAAATTTTACTTAGGTTTTTTTCAAATGACGAAGTTCAAAGTATTGAAAAATTCTACTTTAGATATGTTTATGATGGTTTTAACATATGGCCTAGACATCTAGATATAGAAAAATTTTCACTTTTCAAAAATTGCCATTCGCTGAATTAAACAAGATAACCTTTACAACTGACTATGGCATTGAGGTAATTGAAAAAGAAAATATTTAAAATTTAATTAATTTCTTAGACATTTATGTTATTCTTCAAAATAACAAATACATCAAAACGGTTATATTTTATAAAGAAACACATCAAATACATCAAAACGGTTATATTTTATAAACACTCATGATTATTTAAAATTTAAAAGCCATCATCTTTACCACGCCAAAAAGATCAATCAGTTTAATCTTAAAAAAAAGAATCATTGCATTTACATCTGATTATACCACAGAAAAACTGTGTTTAGCAGATCTTAAATTAAGGCAGAAAAAACGCAACTACCCGGACAATATTATTAAAAAAGCAATTTATAATGCTTAAGAAAAGGAAGCTAAAGAAATTTTTCCTTTACTACATATTAATCAATATAAACTGCCAGCCTATACTAACTAAAACTAATCATCTATTCCGTTTATCCTGTAGTAAAAGAATACATCAAATTTGTTCTAATATTAATCCTGTAATAGATTACAAACAACCACCAAATTTACTGAGACAACTTACTACTGCTAAATTTAATTCCGTACCATCTAACAATAAAAATATAGGAATTTTTAAACGTAATGATAGTTGTTGCAAAATTTGTCTATTTTACCTGCAAAAGGTAAAAAATTTGTAACATCCAATGGTACTATTTAGAACATTAAAAGTCGCATTACTTGTAACAAAAAGAATGTCATTTATTATGTAAAATGTTTATTGAGGAATGGTCAATTAACATATCCTGGAAAAACAAATAATTTGAGAAACTGCACAAATGTTTATATATCAAATTGCAGAACCGGATATTCAATTGACAGATTAAATAACCATCTGTATGGTTTTCAACGTTTAAATATTAAAATAATGGAACTGTTTTTCCAGCTTTTTGTTTTTCTAGAAATTAAAAGTGATAAAAGTTTATTGTCGTATGAAAGTCATATTTTGTTTCAAATCTTTTTGGAAATGAAAACTTTTTTTAAAGTTTTTATTTTGCTTTACATACATTTTATACATATATAAAATGAAAAATGTTTTTTATTTAGATTTGGTATCAAACAACAATTTTTGGAATACTAAAAAAATTAAAAAAACTCGAAAGAGTCGCTGTTCAAATTTAATTATGACGATGAAAAAAAAACTCTTCCTTAAAAATACTTTTACTTGTGAAATATACAATTAATAATAAATTGAACTTAAATAAAGTTAAAAACTATTTTACTAATTTTTTGAGTTTAATTATTGGTTTCAAAAAGTTAAACTTTTTGAAACCAATAATTAAAATCAAAAAATATAGAAGAAAACTTGTCTTTCATGTTTATAAATCTTATGTCTTGCTTCAGACCTTACTTTATCAAATTAACCAATTGGTAGTATTTTATTTTCTAGAAATTGTGTGCCATATACTAAAACTTTGTCATAAATAAAGTAAAGCTGTTTGAAATTTTTTTATTATTAGAAAAAAAATTTATTATTGGCTCTAACTTATCTATTATCGTCAGTATCGTGTTTTTCCTTTTAAAATATGTTCTGTTGATTTCTTTATGTATGCAACTTAAAACTGCACAGATTGAGAAGTGTAATTGCTCCATAAGATCTTATTATCTTCTGAGTTCAAACCATTTTAGATACATTTTAGATTGTATTCAGGATACAAACTACAATTTTGATAACAGCTCCTTGTCTAATGCTTTGATATTGTTGTTAATATGGAATCTAAAATTTATTCTAATGCTACTTCTAGTGTATAACGTTTCTTTTTTTCGTGAAAATTATTTTGGTGAATTTTTTTTAATTTTAGTTGTTTGAGATTCTTTCATAACCTATACTAAATCACGTTTCTTTTGCTGAGGTATCAAACCTGCTGCTTGCTATAAAAGAAATGTTTCGTGCGATTTATCCTGACATAACTTTGATGCTTTCAATATCTTGGCTCGATCTTAATTTTTGGTGTATGATAAACATGATCGTCCAGACGATTTTAATGGAATTGATTGACTAAATATTGTTGATGGAGTTGGCATTATCAGTAAATGTAAATTCTCGCTTTAATCAATCTGAGTTTTTACTTCTAAATTGGCACATTGTTTTTTGACTATCAGGTCATTTTCATTCAAAAAAATTGCACTAACGACAAATATTTATTTTTACAAATCTTTATTTAAATTATTTAAAAAAGACCACGTTTATTTACTTATTACATTGAAGGGTTTGATTATTACTTTGAAGGGTTTATTTAAAGGTGCTACATAAAAAAAAAAAATTTAATACTTAAAAAAAATGGGTTTCTGCCAAAAAATCGGATCTCAAAAACCTTAGAGCATCTATTAACCGAATATCTATTAACACTTTCATTCTCACAAGTGAGCTGTGAACGGCCATTTAGTAGATTAAAAATTGTCAAAACTGCGGCTTCGTTCCTCATTATGTAACAACAAGCTTGAAACATTTATGCTGATGTCGACCGAGAAAAACATTTTGGATTCAATTGCAGTTAAGGACGTAATTGGGTTTTTGTGTAAGGATTCTGTAGAGTTATCAAAGATGTTGCTTCTATAAATTACATTGTATTCAGTTACAGTATAAATATCAGATAAACCACAGGGTCCTTTTTGATTTTTTTTTTTTTTAATCTTAAATGATTTAAAAAGAGGTTTATTATTCATTTATCTTAATAAATTCATCGTGTTATTATTATTATTGTTGTTATTATTGCTATTATTATTGTTATTATTGCTATTATTATTATCATTATTATTGTTATTATTATTATTATCTACATAATTATCATGTATATTTCATACATAAGTAAAATAACATACTGAATTATATTGTAAGCCTGAATGAACTTTGAACTTTGAAATTGTAACATTATTTTACCTATTCATATTCAAATTAAAAAGACCTTTATATAAACACTAGCCTATTTTCTACCTATATCC